TTTTAATATGTTAATATAGTTCCAGAGCTTTGAGAAATTCAGGTTATTAGTCAGCAGCTGTCACTTCATGGAGGTTTTATTCTTGTGTTCCTAATGTTTGATTAGCTTCCCTGTAATTAGTATTGAATAACAGTGACCACATAGGGCTGCGGTGGCTCAAGTGGTTGAGATGCTGAACTGCAGGCTGTGGAAGGTCGGTAGATCAGCAGTTCGAGACCCGAGTTGCCGCATGATGGAGTGAGCTCCCATCTCTGGCCCCAGCTCCTCCCAACCTAGCAGTTCGAAAGCAAGAAATTGCAAGTAGATAAATAGGTACTGCTTCGGTGGGAAGGTAACAGCATTCCGTGTGCCTTGGTGTTTAGTCATGCCGGCCACATGACCACGGAAACGTCTTCGGACAATGCTGGTTCCTCGGCTTGGAAACTGAGATGAGCATCGCAACCCTGTAGTCGAATTCAATTGACTTTCGAGCAAGGGAACCTTTACGTTTACTTTACTATCACCTCTAAATTACAAAGGTTTAACTTTATTTTATTTTAGTACTCCAGGATTACACCAGTCATTCTTTTACATAGTGCAAGCATGCTTCCATTAAGAACATTTAGCAAGCTTGATCACAAAATATCTATTGTGACTAGCATAACCCAAAGACCTACTTGTTTTCCTGCACTTCCCCGGGCATGTATGTACTGTCCCCTGGGGTCCCTAACCTTCCGGAATAGCTAGGGCAATGGGAAAAGGGACTGCAGTGTAAAGGGAGAGAGAATAAAGATCCCCTTAGATCCAGCCTACTAGACTCTTTTTTTTTTTAAGCCCCCGGAGGGGATTTTTTATTGATTTTTTTAAACACTACAAAAACTAGAACAGAAAAAAGGGAAAGGCAAAGCTACATATAAGGGAGAAAGTCAAGAACCCACTACTAACTAAAAACCCAAGAGAGGAGATCTCCAACTAGCTTTTTATACTTCATTCAGACTTTTCATCTTTGTACTTCTTATGAACTGTGTCAATCTTTTAACCCTTTTAACCATCCCCAGTTACATTTAATTGCACACTAACAGTGCCCCCCATCATCCCCTAGAACCCAAGTTCTCAAAGGCACAATTCAGAGTCCTTCAGCTTTTACTTCTTCTTCTCTCTCTTCCGCAGTTTGTAGGAACTTTTCGGGGCTGATGACCCCTGCTCAGACAAAGAGTCCTCACCAGACGAACCAGTTTCCAGCTCTCCACTGGAGAGCCTACTATTTGCATGTACAAAAGGGAGCATATTTATGCCTTTTTAAATATTTGCCCAATTTATTCAGTTTTCTTAGGCGGTTTTTGTTGTTCAGTCGCACAGTCGAGTCCGACTCTTCGCGACCCCATGGATCAGATCACGCCAGGCCTTCCGGTCTTCCGCCGTCCTCTGAAGTTTGCTCATCTTCATGTTTGCTGCATCGATGACACTGTCTAACCATCTCATCCTTTGCCGCCCCCGTCTTCTTTGACCTTCAATCTTTCCCAGCATCAGGGTCTTCTCCAGTGAGTGCTCCTTTCTCATTGGGTGGCCAAAGTACTTGAGCTTCAGTTTCATTATCTGGCCTTCCAGGAAACAGTCAGGGTTGATTTCTTTTAGGATTGACTGATTTGATCTTCTTGCAGTCCAAGGGACTCTCAAGAGTCTTCTCCAGCACCATAGTTCAAAAGAATCTATTCTTCAGCGCTCGGCCTTCCTTATAGTCCAACTCTCGCAGCCATACATGACTACTGGGACTACCATTGCTTTGACCATGCGGACTTTTGTTGGCAGGGTGATGTCTCTACTTTTTACTTAGGCGGTTAAGGAGCTTCACACATGTGAAGGGCATAGAAGACCTGTGCCCTGATCACTGGATACTAGTCATGCTGTGGGTTTCATAACTTTCTGCAGGTGTTTCTCACACACTTCAAAGCATATCTTCACACCCACAAGGCCTAGAAAACTTATGGAGTTTTGTTTTGTTTTAAAGAAAGCCAAAATTATATTTAGGAACTACTCTGGCCAGTGCCCCATTGTGTGGTTTTTCAGCACTCTACAGCTGCAGCAAACACAAGACCCGACCGTACATTCTGAACCTTCAGCAGAAGAATCCTTTAGCTCTTGCACACTTTTCTTTACCACAATGAGAACTACTTTCAAGAAGGCAAATTACATGGCAGGTTGCAGAGACAAATGCAGACAACCCTGAAATGGT